ACGACGAGTCAGTGTACAAGAGCTTTCTGGAGATCCTCAACATGTACCGCAAGGGCAACAACAATATCGGAGACGTCTATAAGGAGGTTAGTGGTTGTTGCGTTGTGTTTGTTTCCGTGCAAGGCAAGGGATCATGGTCTGCCGATTCTTTTCCTGCTGGACGTTACTGCTGGCCATGCATCAGTCGGATCAGCAGAGATCTCTTTGTCCCTCAGTCTCCCCACATGCGCACCCACTCCCTTCAGGTGGCCACGCTGTTCAAGGACCACTCGGACCTCTTGAGGAGTTCACCTTCTTCCTGCCGGACTCTGCTTCTTCAGACCATGCACCAGTTCACTTACAACAATTTCCCTACGCCTTTCTTCCCCCCACATGTGCACCCTCTCGCTCCAGGTGGCAACATTGTTCAAGGACCACTCAGACCTGTTAGAAGAGTTTACCTTCTTCCTGCCCGACTCTGCTGCCAGTCACCTACCCCAGTGGCGCGGGGTGGGTCCGCCCCCTCCCGGAACTGCTGCTGCTGCTGGCAGTGCTGCTGGAGCTGCAGCAGCAGGGGCAGCAGCAGGGGCAGCAGGAGTGGCAGGGGTGACGGCTGTACCGGGAGCGAGGCCGGGTGCAGCAGCTGCTGCTACAGCTGGCGCTGCACCTGCTGCTGGTGCTGCTACAGCTGCTGCTGCTACAGCCGGTGGGGCTGCGGCTGGTGGTCGGGCAGAGAAGGGCAAGGTGTGTTCTGCGTGCCGTGGTGTCTCTTTGGTTCTTGTTTACTCGTGTTCAGGACTTAAGATCGTCTCTGGATGCCCTGTTTTGCCTTGAGAAGGTCTCAGTGCCATTTCTCTCACCTTTCGCCTTCAAGAGTCCTACCTAGAGCCTGTACTTCCTCGCTTGCGTGCTATTTCTCTTGCATGCGGTGGCATCTGCGGCTGCTACTGCTGTTGTGTTGTGGTAATGACTCCCCGCCTCCCGTACTACCAGCTAAATGCCATCTAGCCCTCCTGTCCTTACAAGACTGCCTCCTGTGTTCCTTGACTCCTCGTGTGGAGAGTGAAAAGCTGGTATTCGAAAATGCTCAAAAGCCAACATGTCACCTTGTCCTCCTGTCCTTACACACTGCCTCCTGTGTTCCGTGACTCCCTTTGTGGCCAATGTGCAGAGGGAGAAGGATGGGGACCACCCAGAGAGGAGGAGGAAGGGGGCGGAGGGGCGGGGCAAGGAGAAAGACGTAGAGGGCCGGGGGAAGGTGAAGGAGGAGGTAGAGGAAGACGCATCAGCGCACCATCAGAAGCGGCAGCCTCAGCAGCATGTGGATGCTTCTCATCCCCATCTGCACCACGGGCACCCAGCAGCGGGTTCAGGTGGGGGATTGCAGCAGGGTGGGGAGGAGGGCTCTCACAGGAAGCAGCCTCTGCTGCTGGACCTTCAGAAACCCCCGAGGGAGGCAGAGATGCAGGTGGAGGAGAAACGGGTTGGGCTGGTGCCGCCGCAGCAGCTGCACCCACAGCCGATGCAGGTGGATGGGGCTGGGAAGGAGGGGCATGGGGAGTGGGGGCAGCAGCAGCAGGAGGAGCGGGAGGGAGGGGCGCATGCAGTGGTGCAGCTGCCTCAGCAGGCGCAGCAGGGGCCGAAGCGGAAGGGGCGGAAAGGGGAGGAGGGGGGGAAGAAGAAGGAAGCGGGGGGAGCGGCGGTGGAGGGTGCAGGAGCGGACGAGAGGAAAGGGAGCAGGGGTGAGTGGCGCTGGCAGAGGTTGATTGAACGCAAGGGGATTGCTGGGGTTTCCATGTGATGCTGCTGGTGGTGCAAGTGAAGGCAACTGTTGTTGAGTCCCATCCCCCCCTCCTCTCCCTCCCTTCCCCCACTCCCCCAGCCCTGGGCATGCACAGGGAGCTGGCATTCTTTGAGAGGGTGAAGGCGAGGGTGCGCAGCAGGGAGGTGTATCAGGAGTTCCTCAAGTGCCTCAACATCTTCTCCCAGGAGATCATCGCCCGCGCCGAGCTGCAGAGCCTCGTGGGGGATATTCTCGCCAAGCACCCCGACCTGATCGAGGGCTTTAACGAGTTTCTGGCTCGATGCGAGAACCTAGGTGCGTTGCTCATGGTATCAGGATGTTTTGAGGTGTATGCGGATGTTTTGGGGTGTATCCGGATGTTTTGAGGTGTATTTGTATGTTCTTTGGGCTGGTCAGACCAGAGAGCAGGTTTTTTTTTGGTTTCCAGAGACTGTTGAGTTTCTTTACGAATGAATGCATGAGTCAAGCCATGTGCTCGTTTTTGCCTTGCAGTCATATACGTCTTACACACAATCCGTCATCCACTCCACGTGCTTGTTCTGACAGTATGAATAACCTCTGCTATGCATGTGATAAAGGTAACATTTTGAGACGTCTCAAAACGTTCTTGCCATGCACTCATATACGTCTTACCCAGAATCCGTCATCCACACGCTTGTTCTGACAGTATGAATAACCTCTGCTATGCATGTGCGCTTGCTTGTTGGCCTATACCCTCGGTTTTCTTGTTGGTGTCGGTTTCAGACTTTGAGACGTTGGAGTCAGCAGGAGGAGGGCCAGGGGTGAAGGTGGAGGAGGAGGAGCGGAAGGAGGGTGGGGAGAGGGAGCATGAGAGAGCGGAGACTAAGGAGAGGGAGAGGAAGGAGGTGGGGGAGCGTGAGAAGGAAAAGGAGGGAGTGAGGAAGAAGGAGAGGGAAAGGGAGCGAGGGAAGGACCATGGGCATGTGGAGAAGGAGGTTGAGGAGAGGGAGAGGGAGGAGAGGGAGAGGGAAGAGAGAGAACGGGAGGAGAAAGAGCGGATTAAGGAGATGGAGAGGGAGGAGCGGGAGAGGGAACGGGAGAGGGAGCGGGAACGGGAGAAGGAGAGGGAGAGGGAGGCGAGGGAGCGGGAGCGAGAGATGAGAGAGAAGGAGAAGGAGAAAGAGCGAGCAGCGGCAGCAGCGGCGGCGGTGGCGGCGGCGGCGGCGGTGGCGGCGGCAGCGGCCAAGTCAGTTGTAGCGAGGAAGGAGCAAGTGCAGTACAAGTCCATCTGTGAAATGGATTTGTCTGCTGCTGAGCGCTGCTCCCCCAGCTACCGCCTCCTCCCAAAACCGGTGAGTTGTTGATCTTTGAGTTGCCTCAAATCTGTCTGCGGCTGCAAGCTATTGCCTCCTCTCAAAATCAGTCCTTTCCTTTTCACACAAATGGCATGGAGCATTGAATAAAGGGGCTCAACAACATGTGGGTGTCTCCCTTTTTTCTCTCCCCGTACCCCATTTATTTCCCTTCCCCCTCTCTTTCCCCTTTTTTGTCGCAGCAAATGCGTCCCGTGTCGTGCCACCGCACGGAGCTGGGAATGAAGGTGCTGAACGATGTGTGGGTGTCGGTGACGTCAGGCAGTGAGGACTACTCGTTCACGCACATGCGCAAGAACCAGTACGAGGAGTCACTCTTCCGCTGCGAGGACGACCGGTGAGTGCCATCGTGCCGACCTGTGTGTGCTTCCAACCTAGATGTGCTTCGACTTGGAACATTTTCTACCTTTTCTTCCCTCCCCTCCCCCTCTCGCTCTCCATCGCCCTCTGTCCCCTTTGAGCTGGATATGCTGCTGGAGTCCACGGCAGTGATGGCGCTACTTGACTTGTTTGGCCACCAAACACCTCCTCCAACCTCCCCCCACGGCCCCCCACCGCCCCCCACCCTCATGCATTGGCAGTTTCGAGCTGGATATGCTGCTGGAAGCCGCGGCAGTAACGGCGAAGACACACCAAAGACACACACCATTTCCCCCCTCTCCACACCCCCCTCACTTATTCCTTCTCCCTCCCTCCATGCGCTTGCAGTTTCGAGCTGGACATGCTGCTGGAGTCCACGGCAGTGACGGCACGGCGAGTGCAGGAGGTGATTGACCGCATGCACGGCATGACCGACGCAGAGAGGAGTGGCTTCCGCGTGGAGGAGAACCTCACAGGTGAGAGGGAGGCTAGTGACGGTGACGGGTGATACATACGGGTTTATGGATATTGTTCAAGGTCGAGACTCGAGTGCACATGCACGGCATGAGCGACACCGAGCGGAGCGGCTTCAGGGTGGAGGAGAACCTCACAGGTGAGAGGGGCTGTGGGGGCAGGTGGGAGGGGTAGTGACTGTGACGTTCAAGAGGGGCTATGGTGGCAGGTGAAGAGCGAGGGGCATTTATGACATGTGGCATAGGTGAGAAGGGAAGGACTTGTTACCGTGGGGCATGGTCAAGGGCTGGTCAAGCACACCCTGCTTCAACCAGTCCCTCTGTTCTTGCCCTGCCACCCCCTCCCCACTGCCCCCCCCTGCTACCCCGGCTCATTCCCTCTCTTCCTCCCCCCAGCCATCAACATGCGGTGCATAGAGCGCATATACGGCAACCGCTCCTCCATCCCACTCCCCCTGCACATTTGCCCACACCCCTCCCTCCCCCCAGCCATCAACATGCGGTGCATCGAGCGCATATACGGCGACCACGGTCTAGACATTCAGGAACTAGTCAAGCGCACGCCGGCTGTGGCGCTGCCGGTGGTGCTGCAGCGGCTAAAGCAGAAGCAGGAGGAGTGGGTGCGGTGCCGCTCACCCATGCCGCCCCGTCTTCCCCACTCTTGCCGCCCTTTCCCCCTGTTCCCCCGCTTCCAGCCATCAACATGCGATGTATAGAGCGCATATACGGCGATCACGGGCTGGACATTCAAGAGTTGGTGAAAAGGACGCCAGCAGTGGCGCTGCCGGTGGTGCTGCAGCGGCTGAAGCAGAAGCAGGAGGAGTGGGTGCGGTGCCGCGTGGAGATGAACCGCGTGTGGGCGGACGTGTATGCCAAGAACTACGCCAAGTCGCTGGACCACCGCAGCTTCTACTTCAAGCAGCAGGACAAGAAGAGCCTCAGCATGAAAGGTGCGCGCGGGTGGGGGGGGGTTGGGGTGGCCGTGGTTGATGGGAGGATGGGCGTTTAGCTGTTCACTTTCAGGGGGAGCGTCAGTGTGAAAGGCGAGAGGAAACGCACCTGATTTGGAGAGAAGAGCTGCCCGTGTCCGAAGCACTTGATAAGAAGACACGGTTTCCCTTACTTCATCCATCTGGTCAAAACCTCTCGTGGCAAAGACCAACCAGTGTCCCTCTCTTGGTCCCCTATCACTCTCATATTTCGTTGACTTGCCTCCACGTTCCTTTCATTGAACCCCCCCAGGTCTGCTGTCTGAAATCCGGGAGCTGAACGAGCAAAAGCACAAGCAGGACGAGGTGGTGGCAGCACTAGCTGTTCCCACACGCCGCCCGCTCATCCCGGACGTGCTGATGGCATACAACGACTCTGCCATCCACGAAGATCTCCACGAGATCATAAAATTCTCTACAGAGGAAGTGTGCAACTCGCCTGAGCAGTCTGCGAGGGTTATGAAGCTCTGGACGGGATTTATTGAAATGTTTTTGAATGTGCCCGCGGTCTGGGGGAAAGTTGTCGCGGAGGAAAAAGCTGCCCGGGACGCGGAGATTGCTGCCCGAGAAGCTGCGAGGGCTGCCCGGGGAGGGCGTGAGGGGGAGGGGAATGGAGAGGCTGGTGGGGGAGAGGGAGAGGGGGAGGGAAGGGAGAGGGGTAGAGAGAAGGGGAGAGGAGGAGAGGAGAGGAAGCGGGAGAGGCAAGGGGGGGAGGCAGAGGGGCAGAGGAAGAGAGGGAGACATGAGAGTGAGGGTGATGGGGCCGGTGGTGCTAGTGAGGGGCAGAGATCAGGGGGTAGGGAGGCAGGGTGGGATGGGCTGGAAGAAGGCGAATTTAATCCTGGGGGAAAGGCGTCAGAGGCAGCAGGAGGGGGAGGGGGTGAGGAAGAGGAGCCGCATGTGGTGAGGAAGAGCAGGAGCAGCTTGGTGCATGTGGGGGGAGGGGGCGGGGGCGGGAATGGGGGGGGAGCAGGGCAGGGAATGGTGAATGGGGCGGCGCCGGGGGGAGCAGGTGGGGGAGGGGCAGTGGGGAAGGGCAAGGATGCAAGCTCACGCGCTGCTGCTGCTGCTGCAGCGGCTGCGTCGGCTGCGGCGGCGGCTGCGGCGAAGAGGAGGAAGAGGGGGAGGAGAGATAGGGAGGAGGGGGAGGACGAGAGTGTGAGGTCTGAGGGATCTAGTGCAGGGGAGTCTGATAGTGGGGGCGATGAGAGGAGGAGGCAGAGGAGGAGGAGGAGGGAGAGTGAGGGGCGTGAGGACGAGGAGGGGAGAGGAGAGGAGGAGGAAGAGGAGGAGGATGCAGAGGACAGGGAAAGCGGGGGCGAGGTGGGGGAGGAGGGTGGGGCAGGTGACGAGGAGGAGGAGGATGAAGAGGAGGAGGAGGGGGCGAGGGGGTGGATATCAGGGCTGGGACCCAAGGAGAGGCGGCACAGAGGGGGGAAGAAGTGGGGGAAGCACTGGTACAAGGCGTGTCGCCCTGTGGTGGCCCATAGAGATTCGTTTGAAGCAGCTCGGTTGGGATCTGGTGGTATACCACCAAACAGTGGTATAGCAGCTGGTGTGCCTCTGCTGCTCCCTGCTGCTGCAGGAGAGGGTGTGGGGCGCAGAGGTGGGGATAGTGGGAATGGGAGGAGGGGAGAGAATGGTGCTGGTGGGGTGGGAGAGGGAGGGAGGGTGAGGAAAGGGAAGGGGCGAGCAGAGGCGGGGGGGGATGAGGAGGGCAGGGAGGGGCGGGAGAGGGAGGAGAAGGAGGAGAGGGAGAAGGAGAGGGAGAGGGAGCGAGAGAGGGAGTTGTCTGAGGAGCTGTGGGGGAGAGCGCAGGCGGAGGCGGGGGCGAGCAGAGTGATGTATGGCAACGACAGCATGTACATGCTCTTCAGGTTGCACCATGTGAGTGTTTGTCTGTTCTCGAGGCGTTTATGAAAGGAAGGGAGTGATCGTGCGCTTTTGAGGCGGTTTGTAAAGGGGGCGAGCAGAGTGTTGTATGGCAACGACAGCATGTACATGCTCTTCCGGTTGCACCATGTGAGTAACAATGAGTCATGCCATGTTGAGTAGTATGTATAGTTGTGCTTCTTGCACGAGATGACTGTATGGCTTGAAGGAAAGGTGTTAGTAAATTCCGTGTCGGTATTCGACCTGTCACATTCCGTCACATTCTGACTGGGAGACTGTGGCTGGAAAGGTTCCAGCGTCTCTTCGACCAGCTTTTGGTCGAATGGAGTGGGTTAAGGCTGTGACTGCAGAATATAAGACATGGGTAACCCTGCTGGGAGGTAGCACGGTAGCACTGTGACTTACCCATGTCTTATATTCTGCAGTCACAGCCTTAACCCACTCCGCTCGATCAAAAGCTGGTAGAAGAGACGCTGGAATCTTTCCAGCCACAATCTCGTAGTCGAATTGTGGAAGCATTGATGGCAGTGTGGCTGCAATCGACCTGTCACATTTCGTCTTTCATCATCTCACCACATGTTCCCCTTCCTCTCTCCCTCACCTCCTTTCTGCGCCCCTCTCCGCCACCAGACGCTGTACCAGCGCATTCTGAGTGCCAAGGTGAACGCGCGTGCATCAGAGGAGAAGTACCGAGCACTCAACCACTCCGACCCGCCGGACCTCTACGCCAAGTGAGTGTTCGACGTACAAAGAACGTGGGCTTTTTGAAGCTTGCCTGAGGCTGCTGGCTTGTGCCTGCTTGTTGTCTGCAGCTGCCTCTGTGAATCCAGCCCTTGGCTCCATTTCTTGGTTGCATCTGAGGCACGACTCAGCAGAGGAGGGCACATTCTAAATCTGGCTTACCTAACTTTCTGGACTGCACTAACTTGACTTGCTTGACTGCTCCATTACCTGAGCAGGTTCCTGGAGGTGCTATACAACCTGCTGGACGGGCAGAGCCGGGCACACTGCAATGCCGCACTCTCTGAGGTTTCATGTTTTCAACTTGTTGACTTTCTTGACTGCTCCCCCTTGTCCACGCAGGTTCTGGAGGTGCTATACAACCTGCTGGACGGGCAGAGAAGGGCACATGGCAATGCTGTAATTCTTTGACTGCCTTGACTTTCTTGACCCTGCAGGTTCCTGGAGGTGCTATACAACCTGCTGGACGGGCAGATCGACAACACACGGTTTGAGGACGAGTGCCGTGCTGCCATCGGCACCCAGTCCTACGTGCTATTCACCATTGACAAGCTCATCTACCGCCTCGTCAAGCAGGTACGACTGCTGCCTGTCTCTGTCTAATGTCACTCTCGCATCTCCCCAGGCTGCTCTCTTCTACTTTCCTTTGAATCCGCATCTCTCATGTTTTTCCCCTGCTCTTTTCCCCCCTTCCCTCTTCCCTCCCCCGCCCCCTCCCCCACACTTGGTCTTTCAAAAACAGCTGCAGGCGTGTGCAGGGGACGAGGTGGGGGCGAAGCTGCAGCAGCTGCACGGCTACGAGGTGGCCAAGGGGGCGCGCGGCTACGTGGACCTGGTCTATCAGGCCAACGCGTGTGCGCTCATGCACGACGACTCGCTCTACAGGATCGAGCTGGTGAGTGCAGGAAGGGCAGCGGGAGGGGTGTTATAGGGCTATGGAGGGGAGTGAGCGGCTTCGTGGACCTTGTTTATCAGGCCAACGCATGTGCGCTCATGCACGACGACACTCTTTTCCTTACGCCTCTCTCACCCTGCACCCTCCCTTCCCGCTTCTCCCTCTGCAGCTAGCCCAACAACCGGGCGAGGGCGAGATGACGGTGCAGCTGATGGAAGGGGGACCGGAGAAGGTGGAGGTGCCGGCAGCAGCCATGGAGTCTGCCTTCCTGCACTACCTCTGGCACTTCCTGCACTCGCCTCCTTCCCACTCGCCCGCACGTGGTCATGTGTTCCTTGCCAGGCAAGTGCTGGCCTCTTCTCGTATCCTCGTATGTCCGTGGGTCGGGTCTTGTGAGTGCGCTGTGCATGGAGTCTGCCTTCCTGCACTACCTCTGGCACTTCCTGCACTCGCCTCCTTCCCACTTGCCTGCGTGCGGTGTGTTGCCAATGCATGTGCATTACCAGGAACGTGAGAAAGGCATCATCATCCTCATCAGCAGCAGCAGCAGCAGCAGCAGCAGCGGGGAAGAGGGGGCGCAGCAAGGACGACGAGGAAAGGGCTGCCCTGGAGAGTGTGCTTATAGTGAATGGCCTCGAGTGCAAGCTCTCTTGTGTCACCTCCAAGGTACCTCCTAACCCCTGCTTCTCCCTTCCCCTGTAGCGTAAGTCGCTTTTTCACCACCCTAGGCTCATCCTGTCTTCATCCCAACCCAACCATCCTGTTTTCCACTACCGTGCTTTTTTCTTCTTTTGCATCCTTGCCCTCACCACCCAGGTATCCTACGTGTTAGACACGCAGAAGACTACCTGTTTCGCCAGAAGAAGCACCGCCGACCCAGGAGTGCATCCCAGGCACCATGACCAGGGGGGTGGGCTGACCAGTGTCGCTGACCTCCTCTCCCCTCCGTTGCATCCTCTGCCCACCCCACCAGGTGTCCTATGTGCTAGACACAGAAGACTACCTGTTTCGCCACAAGAAGCACCGCCGACCCAGGAATGCATCTCAAATACTAGTGCTTCAAACCCCCTGCTCCCCTCCCTCTCCCCCGTCTTACATCCGTCCCCCCACCACCCAGGTGTCGTATGTGCTAGACACAGAAGACTATCTGTTTCGCCACAAGAAGCACCACTGACCCAGGAATGCATCTCAAATACTAGTGCTTCAAACCCCCCGCTCCCCTCCCTCTCCCCCGTCTTACATCCGTCCCCCCACCACCCAGGTGTCCTATGTGCTAGACACAGAAGACTATCTGTTTCGCCACAAGAAGCACCACCGACCCAGGAGTGCGTCCCAGGCACCTGCGCTGCCGCACAAGGCCCAGGGGACAGCTGGCACACAGGGATTGGCCGAGCGCTCTCACCGAGCAGCCAGGCGGTTACGGCGTTACCAGCAGTGGATTTCGGCAGGAGTGCCCCCACCCTCCGCGTGAGGGGTTTACCCTGATTAAGTTAAACGGGCAGCTAGAGGAAACATGTAAGTGCTGCTGCTTCTTTTTGTAAGTTGGTACCGTGTGCATACGGTAGAACCTCCCTGACTCGTGATCACTGACCTGGTGAAAGTGGTGGTGGTTTTTCTTTCTCTGCTGTTCCTCAATCTTCTCTTGAAGCCATTTGACACTGTTCTCTCTGTTCCCTGCTCTCCCTGCCTGCATCTGTGTGCACTGTAGAGCTCGCCTCTGCTGAAGGTCCCCCCACTGCTGCTCTTACGTGAGCATCAGGCTACAGACACAGAGGGCTCCCTACTATGGCCACAGCATTTTGTGGCCGCAAATCATGTCTGCGGTAGCAATGCAGCCTTCCAGAAGTTGGATGCTGTACTGTCATTGTGGAATTCTATAATAGTAGTGTTTTACGCAGAATCTGAATGCACGGTGTGCATAGGAAAAATGTATTTCGAATTAGGAGCACACTGTTTCGCACTTATAATGTTACAGAAAAGTCAACCTTCGTCCTCGTTTACGGATCAGCCAATATCGAAGCAACCCACAGTTGGAACTTCCTTCACCCATTTCAGGTCTGGACGTCACCGAACGAGCTCCTTTTCCCCAAGTCCTTCGCGAGACTGCAGAATTCCTCACCGTTCGCTGTTCGTAGCACGGAGCTGCTGCGAAGCACCCCCTCCGTCTCGCCTCACTCCTCTCCCCCCCGGTTCCCGCGCCCCCTCGCGTCCCCTCGTGCGCGCCAATGGCGGCGGCGGCGGCGTCCGCGGCGCTGGGCGACCTGCTGCTGCTGCAGGGGCAGGCGAAGCGCGACCCGGAGGGGTACCGCGAGGAGTTCGAGCGGCAGCACCGCCACTACCGCGCGTTGCTGGCCGTGTTCTCGTTAAAGCCCCACGCGGAGAGCAAGGAGTTCGGCGACCTCGTCATGTTCCTCGCGCAGGTGGGCTTTAAGCTTCTGCTTCGCGCGGCGTCAACGCCGCTGCCCCGCGCCGCTGGCCGTGTTGCTGTTGGAGCCGCATAGTGATGCTGACGTGTGTTAGGGTTTGGAGCTCGAACGGTATCAGGCTTTGGGGGACTCTCGACCATGGGGGGCTAAGAGTTTATGATTTAGGGTTAGCAAGCGTGCGTGAGACTCGCGATGAGCGTACGGGGCCAGAGGGAGTGAGAGTTCAGTGCACGGGGAAGCTGAAATCAGGTTCAGGGTTTCGGGTTTGGGTTTTTTACAGCAGCGGATTGATTGAATCTGGCGGTGGGATTATTCTAAGCGAGGTGGTATGATATATGCCTGCCTGAGACGGGTCCATTCCCCTACAGCGCGTGTAAACCCGAAACCTCCCATCTCCGGCCCTTAAACATGTCCGATCCCCCCTTCCCCTCCTCCCCAGCTCGCCCCCTTCTACCGCAGCGCCATGGGGGGATTCCCGGGGGAGGTGATGGGGCTGCTGCAGTGCACACGCGCATGTGGGTAGGATACCCCCCTCCCCTTCTCCTCCCTTCAATCTCCTGTTACCCCTCCCCTCCCTCTCTCCCTCCACAGCTCGCGCCCTTCTACCGCAGCGCCACGGGGGGTTCCCGGGGGAGGTGATGGGGCTGCTGCAGTCCCACGTGGGCGTGGGTAGGATTTCTCCATCCCAACCAATTCTCCATTCCCTCCCTTCAATCTCCTGTTACCACTCCCCACTCCTCTCCAGCTCGCCCCGTTTTACCGCAGCGCCATGGGGGGGTTCCCAGGCGAGGTGATGGGGCTGCTGCAGTCCCACGTGGACGTGCTTCACCCAATGCTGCGCCGCCAGCTGGCGCACGCGCTCATCCTCCTGCGCAACCGCCAGGTGCGTGCCTGCTCGTGCCGTTCGCGACTCCTCTCCTCCTTTCGGTTGTTTGGGACAAGCGTTTTCCTCTTGGCTATTAGGTCTGACGGACCTCATTCCGCACTTATTCCGCCTCTAACATCTTCCCTTCTCCCTTTCCCTATCCCGTTCCACCTGTTTGCAACCCCATTTCCCATTCCTCGCACTTCCCCCTTCACCCATGTCCCAGCTATTGGGTCCCACGGACCTCATCCCTCACTTCTTCTGTTCTTCCTCTGCCTCTCTCTGAAAACCCCCTTCTTCCTGCCCGTGCACTACCTTCTCCCCCCCCCTTCCATCCCACCCCAGCTGCTGGGTCCCACGGACCTCATTCCGCACTTCTTCCGCCTCTTCCGCTGCCCCGACAAGGCCCTTCGCAAGCTGGTGTTCTCCCACATCGTGAACGATATCAGGCGCCTCAACCAGAAGCACCGCCACGAGGGGGTGAACCGGCCCATCCAGAACATGCTCTTCTCCCTCGTCCAGGTATGTGCGGTTGCTTGTAGGCCATGGTGTGAAGGGCAGGGAAGACAGTTAGGCAAGTGGGTGAGGCAAGTGGGCGGGACAGGGGTGGTTTGGAGAAGGCCCTTCGCAAGCTGGTCTTTTCACACATCGTGAATGACATAAGACGGCCGAACCAGAAGCACCGCCACGAGGGGGTCAACCGGCCCATCCAGAACATGCTCTTCTCGCTCGTGCAGGTACGTGCGGTTGCTTGTAGGCCATGGTGTGAAGGGCAGGGAAGACAGTTAGGCAAGTGGGTGAGGCAAGTGGGCGGGACAGGGGTGGTTTGGAGAAGGCCCTTCGCAAGCTGGTCTTTTCACACATCGTGAATGACATAAGACGGCCGAACCAGAAGCACCGCCACGAGGGGGTCAACCGCCCCATCCAGAACATGCTCTTCTCCCTCGTGCAGGTACGTGCGGTCGGCCACTTGTTTTAGGTCATTGTGTGAATGACTAGTGAGGCGAGTGGGTGGGTGGGACATACTGGGTGAGTGGCATGAGGGGGTTAACCGCCCCATACAGAACATGCTCTTCTCCCTCGTGCAGGTACGAGTTGACTTTTGAGTCGACTCAAAAGTCGCCCCATACAGAACATGCTCTTCTCGCTCGTGCAGGTGCGGTACGGTCCCACTGTGCTCTGCACTGCACCACTGGCGCCCTGTGACTGTCCGTCTGTTGTGGCAGGTACTATCTCCTGCCGTGTGCTCTCTCAACGTGCACCGGACCTCCCGACCTCCCTCCTTCCCACCAACGGATGTTTGAGTGGACTGTGAAACCTTGCTGTATCTGAAACCTTGCTGTATCTGAATCCCTGGTTTCGACCTCTCCAAACCTCCACCCACCCACACCAGGAAGAGAACGAGATGGCAGCAAAGTAGTCTCTCGCAGTGCTGACAGAGCTGTTCCGCCGCGCGCACTGTCATCTATATCGCACCCTTCTCTCAAACCCGCCTTCCTCCATCTCTCCCCTGGATAGGAAGAAAACGAGATGGCAGCAAAGAAGTCTCTCGCAGTGCTGACAGAGCTGTGCCGCCGAAAGGTGTGGACCGATGCCCGCACTGTGAACGTGATCGCCACTGCGTGCCTACACTCCACCCGTGCTATCCTCTTCCCGTTCCTCCAACCACGCCCTCCCCCCACCAGGAGGAGAACGAGATGGCAGCCAAGAAGTCCCTGGCAGTGCTCATCGAGCTGTACCGACGGAAAGTGTGGACCGATGCGCGCACTGTGCTCACATTCAAATCCCAGTGTTGACCCCCCCCCAACCTCCACTCCACACACCCCCACCAGGAGGAGAACGAGATGGCAGCCAAGAAGTCCCTGGCAGTGCTCATCGAGCTATACAGGCGCAAGGTGTGGACCGATGCCCGCACTGTGAATGTGATTGCGACAGCCTGCCTGCACCCGTGCACGCGCATCATGGTGGGCGCTCTCAAGTTCTTCCTGGGGGCGGACCGGCAGGGCGAGGGGGAGGATGGGAGCAGTGATGAGGAGGAGGACGAGGATGAGAAGAAGAACCGGAGTAAAGAGAACTCTGCTCTCGCTCTCGACAGGAAGACTGTTTACACGGTACGTTGGTGGATGGGTGGGGTATGTCCGTAGGAAGGTGGGTGACAGGGTAAGGCGGCCCCAATTCGTCATGTCTCTGCCTGTCCTCTAACCCCTCCTTCCCCCTCCCCCTCCTTATCCCCTTCTCCGTCCCCCCTTCTCCCAGGCATACCACAAGGGAACGCCAGCCAGCAAGCGCAAGAAGCAGGCGAAGCTGAAGCGAGTCATGAAGGGGCTGCGGAAGCAGCAGCGTGCCGTGATGGGCGGAGGGGGGGAGGGCACAGGGGAGGGCGAAGGGAACATGCACTTCGCTGCGCTGCACTTGCTGCACGACCCTCAGATGGGTGGGTGACTGTATTAGATTACAGGGAAGGGGTGAGGGGAAGAGGTGGGGGGAAGAGAGGCGCAAAGGGCAAGGCGTTGGGAAGGACGATGGTAACGTGCATTTTTCTGCTTTGAATCAAATCAAACCGTAACTTGAGGGTCATGCAGTGAGTGCAGGGCAGCCACCCAGCAGCCACCCAGCAGCCACCCAGCAGCCACCCAGCAGCCACCCACCTGAACTGAAAGTCGTGCATCGTGCTGCTGATACTGCCAAGTTCCTGTATCCCCAGCTCCATCCACCCCTTTCCCTTCCCCTCCTGCCATCCCTTTCCTCTTCACTCCAGGGATTTGCAGAGAAGCTCATGAAGTGCAGCCGCATGTCTTTTTTTGAGGCGATTTTTGAGGCGATTTTTGAGGCGATTTTTGAGGCGCCTTTTTTGAGGCGATTTTTGAGGCCTCAAAAATTTGCAGAGAAGCTCATGAAGTGAAGAGGAAAGCTCATGAAGTGAAGAGGAAAGCTCATGAAGTGAAGAGGAAAGCTCATGAAGTGAAGAGGAAAGCTCATGAAGTGAAGAGGAAAGCTCATGAAGTGAAGAGGAAAGCTCATGAAGTGAAGAGGAAAGCTCATGAAGTGAAGAGGAAAGCTCATGAAGTGAAGAGGAAAGCTCATGAAGTGAAGAGGAAAGCTCATGAAGTGAAGAGGAAAGCTCATGAAGTGAAGAGGAAAGTTCATGAAGTGAAGAGGAAAGCTCATGAAGTGAAGAGGAAAGCTCATGAAGTGCAGCCGCATGTCCAAGTGCAACAACAAGTGGCTCATGTCAGGCTAATCCTGGTTTCCCTGTGCTCCCCCCACCCTCTCCCTTTTCTCCCTCCCCCGTCCTCTTCACTTGTCTGCAGGGATTTGCTGAGAAGCTCTTCAGCCGCGTGTCCAAGTGCAACAAGAAGCTGATAGTGCCGTATTCTTGTTCACCCTGCTTTCCATGTCCTCTCTGCAGGGATTTGCAGAGAAGGTCTTCAGCCGTGTGTCCAAGTGCAACGAGAAGTTTGAGGTGCGTGTGACCACGTCTGTGACGTCTGTTGAGATAGACCAGCTCTGAAACGTCTCAACATGTGAGGTGGGTGCGAGAGATAGAAGAGTGACGGGGGTTTAAGAGTCGAGTTAAGGGGGTTCAACGGGGGGTTAGATTTTCATGCTCATCTTCCCTTGTCTCTTCGTACCACTGCCTCCCTCCAGGTGAAGCTGCTAATGCTGAACGTGGTGTCACGGGTCATAGGCACACACCGATTGCTCCTCCTTAACTTCTACCCCTTCCTGCAGCGATACCTCATGGTACGTCCATTCCTCCTGCCTCTCCTGTGTCTCCTGCTTCTCCTTCCTCGTTGCGCCTTCCTTCTACCATCCCTTTTCCATGTCATTTTTCTTCTCCTTGTTCAGTCCTTTAGCATCAGGTGGCTCGTAGCTGTGCGCTCTCCTCCTTGCCAAGGAGCAATGTGTGCAAGGTTCGTATCGCTCCTCCCATTCGTCCATTGCTGCCCGTGCATCCCATCCCATCCCATCCCATCCATTGATTGCAGCCGCACCAGAGGGACGTGACGCACCTCCTTGCCATCGCCGTGCAAGCCTGTCACGACCTGGTGAGTGAGTCGCGATGTGGGAAGTCCATCACGATTCAACCTGCCTGGCGGGTAGGTGTTTTGGAGGATTGATACGCAACGCATCTGGTGGGTGTCACAATCCGGTGCATGCCATGACCGGGCCCGGCCAGAGGTGCCCCCAGACGCAGTGGAGAGCATGGTGAAGCAGATTGTGAACCTCTTCGTTCACGACCGGGCCCGGCCAGAGGTCATAGCCGTGGGACTAAACGCCGTGAGGGAGGTGTGTGCGCGCTTCAGACTCTTTAATCCCATGCCTCCCCCTCTCTCTCCCTTCTCCACCTCTCCTGTTTTACCCCTTCCTCGCCCCTCCCCCAGGTGCCCCCAGACGCAGTGGAGAGCATGGTGAAGCAGATTGTGAACCTCTTTGTTCACGATCGAGCAAGGCCAGAGGTCATAGCAGTGGGGCTCAACGCCGTGAGGGAGGTGTGTGCGCGCATGCCCCTGGTGATGGGCGAGGAGTTGTTGCAAGACCTGGCCATGTACAAGAAAGCACGGGAGAAGGCCGTTGCTGCTGCTGCAAGATCGATTATCTCACTGTTCCGAGAGGTATGCTAGGGGTGAAGAGCGGTACCAGGGAAAGAGAGGTTCAAGAGAGCAGGCTGGGAACTGTGTGCGCGCATGCCCCTCCGTGGTGATGGGCGGGGAGTTGCTGCAGGACATTGCCATGTGCAAGAAGGCTGGCAAGAAGGCTGTTGCTGCTGCTGCCCGGTCGATCATTTCCCTTTTTCGAGAGGTACGCGCCGTACGGGGAGGTACAGGGAGGTACAGAGAGGTACAGAGAGGTACAGAGAGGTACAGATCCATTTTCTCCCTCTGCTCTCATCCCCCACCATCTCTCCCTGTCCTCCCATCTCTTTCCCCCCTTCCTCCCCCCACAGGTGAATCCGTCGCTGCTGCAGCGGAAAGACCGGGGCAAGCCGGGGAAGGCAGTAGCTGTTAGTGTGTCCGCGCCTTCCCCCTGCACCTCCGCCCTTGCATCCCCCAACCCCCCCCCTGCCCGCCCCCCACCCCCCAACCCTGCGCCCATCCAGGTTAACCCAACGCTGCTGCAGCGGAAAGACCGGGGCAAGCCGGAAAAGGCAGGAGAAGCTGTGCAGCCAGTTGCGTTTGGCCACGTGGCAGTGTCTGACCACGTGCCTGGGATTGAACTGCTGGGAATTCCGGAGGAGGAGGGCGATGGGGAGGAGGAGGGGAGTGAGGAGGGGAGTGAGGGGGAGAGTGAGGAGGAAGGGGAGGGGAGTGAGGAGGAGGTGGAGGAGGGAGAGGAGGGCGAGGAGGTGGAAGGGGATAGTGATGAGGAGGGAAGTTCAGGTAGTGAGGAGGTGGAGAGTGAGGGAGAGGATGAAGAGGAGGAGGAAGAGGAGGAGGAAGAGGAAGAGGAGGGGGAGATGGGGCAGCAAAATAGGGCACTGATTTCCAGAAAAAGAAAGGCAGAGGGAGAGGGACCGGTGAAAGTGGAAGGTGCGAGTCTGAGGCAGCTGAAACGACTGGCAGCACAAGGGGAGGGGAAGGCCGGAGAGGAAGGCGGGGGAGAGAAAGCAGGGGAAAAGGCGGAAGGGGATGGGGAAGAGGAGGAAAAGGATGGGTTTCTGTCAACAGAGGATTTCAGGAAGATCAGGAGGATGCAGGCGAGGCAGGCTGCAGAGTCGATGCTGAGACGCAAGGGCATGAAGAAGGCGGCTAATGCGCTCGCTCACTCGCATCAAGCGCGCTCGCAGTCGCTCAGTGACCGCCGAGTTGACCCTTCAGATCTGGAGGTGAGTCGTGCTGCTGCTGACTTGAGTGAGGGCAGTAGAGGCGATGCTGAGGTGCAAGGGCTCAGATGCTGAAGAAAGGTGCCAGTGCAGTGCGCTCGCCCACTCGCTTCACGTGCACCTGCGTGTATATGTCTCGGTCTTATGTGTATTATATGCACCTGCATTTATATGTCTCAGAGTTCATTGCTGCATCTTTCTTTCTCTCCCCTCCCCTCTCCCCATTTCCCCCCCAACCTCCCCCTCCCCCCCAGGTGCACATAAAGGCTCGGAGGGACAAGGAGGAGCGCATGGCAGCAGTGCTGGCGGGCAGAGAGGACCGCAGCTTCTTTGCCAAGTCGAAGCTTAAGCAGCAGAAGGTACGGCTGCCCCTTGATCAAGACATTCACTGCGTCCTGCTTTTGAGAAATCTAAAAAAAACAACACCTGCTCAGAATTCCTAAAAGCAACAACTCGCGATGCACGTTGCTGTGAAGAGATCCGCTGCATCCTGCGACGCATTGTGTTGCAAATGCTTCTATCGGTCTTCTCTAGCTCGATAGTAGTTTCCAAAAGCGACAAAAAAATAATGTCTTGTGAATGCATGTTTTCTGCTTTCTTCGTGTATGTGTTGGCTCGTGGGTGGGAGGGTTGTCAACAGCGAGGATTCGGGCCATGATTCCCAGCTTCCTCTCTCACCCTCCTTCCCCTCCTATCCCTTCCTCTCACCCTCTCCTTTCACCCCTCACCCTCTCCCCACAGGTGGGTGGAACATCCAACAGGGAGAAGGAGAAGCGCAAGGCAGCGCCGATGGCAGCACAGCGAATGAAGCTCAAGAGGCGCACGCAGGGCAAGCGGCGCAACAAGGGGAAGAACTTCCAGGGAAAGAAGGCCTGGAAGACGTGAAATCTGGGTTCCGCAATTTCGTTATAAGCTATTGTTAGTTTGTTTCTATTTGCTGTTATGGTGAAAATTGTTAACGCATATTCGCTAGAACTGTACCGTATGTTCAGCTTTTATTTCGATCAATTCCCCTGGAACTTCCCTCAGCCGTGTAACTGCCCTCGCAATTCTCAGGGATGAGCAAATCTGAGCTAAGCTGGAAGTTCTCAGGACAGGATTCACTCACACTCCCGGGGCCTAGCCATGGCGTCCGTGAAGCGCACTGTCGCCGTCGCATTGGCTTTCGTCGTCGCACTCGTCGCCGCGTACACCGCTGTTCACAGCGTAGCGCTCCTCGCTCCCACGCGCCCACGTAATTCCCGTCCTCTCTCCTCCCAGAGCTCGTTGGCTTTGGAATCAACTCAAAACTCCCCTCGCGCCCTCGCACCCACACGCCCACGCGACTCTCGTTCTCTCTCCTCCAAGTTCCCGTTAATAAGGCCCTTTGCATTCACCGCACCCGGCGGTAACCCGCATCCAAGCGTGAATGACGCCGCAATCTCCGCCGTGGTTCCCAGGCCGGCGCTACCACAGCTGCAGCAGCAGCCCGCGTTTGAAGCTCCCGCCGACAGCGCTCCGCTCGAGCGCGTGTGCGGCTCGCCAGCTGTCGACGGCTACGCGCACGTGAACGCCACGTGCCTCGAGGCATCGCCTACGAATCGCCTGTGGTGGTCCATGCATCCCCAGGTGAGTCCCCTCTCTGCCTCAGGTGAGTCTCCAGGAGAGTTTTGAAAACTTCTGTCAGGCGAATTTCCTGATGTCTTCTTTCTGTGTGACTGTGACTGTGTGCAGTGGTTGAATTGGCGCCTTATTGTCCTATTGGAGTGTGAATGTGAGTCTGACTGACGGCATGGCATGTGCCTGTGCTTGTGTTTTCCCACATGGTTGTGTGTGTGGGCAGGGAGGGAGGAGCGGGGAGAGGCTGGAGTGTCACGTGGAGCGCGAAGTTAGTCTAGATGGGCTGGCTGTGCGGTGGGGCATCGGGCACAAGACCACCACTCCTGAACAATGCTGCCAGGCCTGCCGGTAAATCTGATCGTCTCACATGTCGTTTAAGGCATTTAAGTCGGTTTGGTTGTGCGGTGGGGCATCGGCCACAAGACCACCACTCCGGAACAATGTTGCCAGGTCTGCCGGTATGCGTGCGCCATGTTCCTTTCTTCCTTCCTCTTCCCCAACCTATGATGCTTCTCCACATTTGTAATTAAATATATTACAGTGGCCCCTTATTCCTCTTGCCCTGCAATGTCTGGGTCTTCTGTCCTCCCATTATTCCACTACTGATACCCTCTCTTAACACCCTTTCTCCCTTGAGACCCCGGACAGGACCCACACCCAAGCGGCCCCTTCCCTCCCTCCCTACAACAACGGGTGCTTGGCGCCCCTCTTATTCTACCACCCGTCGCCTGTTCTCTTCCCACCCCTTCCCCCCCAGGGACCACGAACCGGACCCACAAGCTGGGGATCCCTTTGCGCGCCTCCCCTGCAACGTCTGGGTGTTCTGCTCCGCTCCCTCCTGCTTTGAACCCGATGCACACACGCACACGTTCGGTGACTGCTGGCTCAAATTCTCCGAAGCCCCACAAAATCCTGAAGTGAACGCGCGGGGGGAGTACCCTCGGGAACTCCGTGCGAGGCATGCCGAGGCGCCTGAGCGGTGCCAGTGGGTGGCGGGGGTGCTGCTGCCGCCCGGACAGACGCTCACCAACGGCACATGGAGCCCGAGGCATGAATGGTGATACATGAATGCCCAAGGACAGCGTCGTTTTATGATACTGTACAAAGAGGATGGAAGTTTCGCATAGAAGATCATGCCTTTGCAGACTGGTACGTTCATGCGAATGCGCACATGCTTGTTTCTTCTTTCCCGTTGCTCTCATTTCTAATTGTTTTGCTTCTAGTTGCATGTGCAGGCATTCTGGTTCCACCTTCAAAGACTTGCAAACATGCAGAAAGAAAAACGATTGTCACCGCAAGGCATTTTGTGAACCTCCGACCATCCATGCCTTGTTTATCGGGTTATAGCAGGCACCCAATGTTGCTTCATCAAGTGGAGCTTCAAATGTTGCACCTTATAATTATTTTTTAGTGCTTTCATTCCTACACGCTCCATAACATTCATTTTACTGTAGTATCAGTGGCTGCTGCTATTGCCGCCATCTCCAATTAGCAGAACAGATCGCCCTCGATATTGCCTACTGACAGATAAACAGCAAGGCGAGCCTTGTGATCTAGGCCGAGTACAGCACGCATTGACAGAGTGTGAATGCGTAGGCTTCAAGAACCAGGAGTTGCTGATCAGCGTCGTGTATGGTTAGAAAACAAGCGACTACTCGTTCTGTGTTTCTGCTAACCATTGTCGCTGTTGATTAGTCAGTCATGGCGGCGTTGCTGCACGCGATCTGGGTGAGGTATCTCGACTCGCTCAAGCATCGCCCGGTCCTCACCAAGGTGCAATCCCTGCGCGATCCCACCATTTCGATCATCACTCGCACCATTCGGATTCACGCTTCTCTCTCACTCGTTTCTCCCGTCCACTTCTGTTTCACCTGTAAGCCATTCTCCCTGCCCGGAATTCGTTTCGAGTCTATAGCCGTTACTTTCGCCATAATTCACCGCTCCCGTTGTTCAGGCACTGACGTCGGCATCGCTAGCGGCCGTGAGCGACCTGATGGCGCAGCGACTGGCATCCCGCAAACCCGTGGAGCTCAGGCGAACGATTCTCATGTGGGTGCGTGTAGGTGGGTGCATGCAGGAGGGTGCGTGTAGGAGGGTGCATGCAGAGGAGATCACTCGTTGGCAGGGAGGGTGAAAGCGGACATACCATGCCAAAAAAAACATAATGTCCAGTCCTACTTTTCTTCCTCTTTTTAATCCACTCACGATGTAGACATGGAGTACATTCTCATGCCTGCGATCATACCTTTCTCCCTCTTAATCCCTCCACAATCCTTCCGAATTATGGCTGGCTTCTATGATCAGTCCACCCCTCAATCTATCCTTCAATTCATCCCGCACTCCACCCCTCATCCGACATTCACTGCACCTCTCAGCTGTTCGGGCTGCTCTACATGGGTCCGTCGGCGCACATGGTGCATCGTGCGCTCGACGCCATCTTTGCTGCCAAGAGAGACACCAAAACCGCGTTAAAAAAGGTAAGCAGAACGAATTAGATTATTAGCGGCAAGGATTGGCGAACGAGACGAGGAGGGGAGGGGCGGAATGAGAAAGACTTCTCTCAGAGTCTTAGAGTGTGTATGCATTACCCTTACCATGCAATCCTCCGATATATTGCACAACGAAAGGTTCTAAATGTCCAGATTCAGCAGGCCGCCTGTGGTTTTGTGTTTTCAGGTGGTGGTAGAGCAGTTGACATATGGCCCGTGCTGCAACGTGGTGGCCATTATGTGGATCGCCTACGTGGTGGAGCGACGCTCATGGATGGCATCCAAGAGACGGCTATTTGCTGCATACCCAGGGATCCAGATCAATGGATGGAAGGTAAAGTGAAGCTACTTGAAATGTATCACTCACAATTTTCCGTTTCATTGAGTCTCACAGTTGTGGTCTCACCTGACCCATTTTTTTTGTCATTATGCGTTTGCTTCAGGTGTGGCCGCTTGTAGCACTGATTAACTACAAGTTCATTCCATTCAACCTCCGTGTGCTCTTCTCCAATGTTATTGCCATCTTCTGGTGAGTCTTCTAAGTCACATTCGTTTGCAAAATCTGCATCTTTCTGAGTTGCTGAGGTATTTCAATTGCGGCATCTTATCCCACATTCCAGGTCTACATTTCTTATTCTAAAAGCACGTGGAATCAAGGACAAACAAAGCTTGGAATAACGCATTCGACGCGTTATTTTCATCAGTGTAAATACTATAGGCTGTACAGACTCCTGATATTAATCAGCAAACACCGTTCCTCAACACTGGCCAGGCCATGGATTACCGTACATGGCACTATGAGTTGGCATAAATAAGTATAGATCGGCTATTGTGAAAGGCAAGTATTATTGAAATTCCAATACCGAGGTTTTCCTTTAGCAACAACTCTCATGGGGCCGACAGTGTATGCGACTGTCTCGCCATGCGTTCTCTCACCAGGCGGGGTGTCGGTCGGCCTCTGACGGAAACACGCGCCGCTAGAATCTGCGTTGTGTCAGGAGGGGCAAACGAGCGGCGTTTGGCCAATCACATCAAATGACGCCTCGTTCGCTGCCAGTCAGCCGGTGGGAGGGAATATGTGGAGGCAAACAAACCTCGTGCGACTGCTTCGCGTTCCGTTCTGGAAAGCTTCGCTTCGCCTTCGTCCGTACCACTCGCCGAGGCTGACAGATGGGCGTGGAGAAGGTGGATGGTGGACCAGACTCAGGGGAGAGAAGGGAGGGAGGCAAGGCCACGAGGTTAGCGCGCTAAACGACAGGATCCCGAACCTAGAACAAGCGAAGCAGGAAACCATCGGTTCGGGCAGAGTCTGCTCTGCAGCAGCCAAACCTGCACCAAATTCCTCTCCCCCACAGCTCAGAAACAAGAATGGTCCCTCCCTCCAAACTGTACCTCAATTATCCCTCCATGCCATACCTCATTCTGCAATGGATTTCCTTCGCATTCTCGCTCCCACTCCATTCCCTTCCCTCCCTCCTGCTGCTGTGAGTGAGCGGGTCTTGTGGGCTTCGAGAGTTCTTGACCTTTCTTTCGCACTTCGAAATGTTCTTCACCGTCCTTCTGGCATGCTTCTTTAGCTTTCTCCGTCCAATATCCCGCGCTTGACTTGACTGCTTCGCGCTCCGCCAACTGCGCGTAGTCCCAGTTCCATCATCGGATTGCACCACCGCCATCTCCGAACTGCATCTCAAAGAGTCTGTCGCTTAGTGTACCTAACATGCCGTACTGGCTCTAAGGCCCTCTGACTGGGTCCATCTCAAGCATAATACTAGATACTCTAGCTTTTTTTCTGTTTCCCTTCTAATTGTCTCCATTCGTCTTGAGGCCACCCGCTATGCACCGTAAGCCGGTTCTCCTCTCGCCCGCCAAGGAATGGCGCGACCCAATATTCGCCGCGCCTTCACCATCTCGTAAAGACACTGGACCGCTCACCACCCCGCGGCACCGAGAGCCTCCGCTCTCCCCATTCCGCTCGCCATTGATGGGCTCCACCAACCCAGGAATCCCCGCGGGATCTCCGCTCGGGTCGCGCTCCCGCCGCGCCTTGGCCTCTCCGGTGCGGGACGTGCGCCAGGCGGACCGCGGGGAGCACGGCAGCAGCGGGGGGAACAGCAAGCGGTTGGCGCAGCTCTGCATTCTCCGCACAGCGCAAGCGCAACTCAACTCCGCGCACCACCCGCGCCCCCCGTCTTCCGCGCAGCCGTCCCCCATCTTCTCCGCCGAGTCCCCCAGCTCTCTGGTGTGCCAGGCGGGAAGCGCGCTATCTTCTTCCGCGCAGGCGCGCGCGTCGTTTGAGTCGGTCCAGGCGCCGTGCAGCGCGCCGAGCGGCCCCATGTCCGCGCGAGAGGGCGCAGCGGACATGTTCGACCCGTTTCTACTCCCCGCGCCCGCCTTTCCCCTCCGCGACCAGCCCTCCTCCCCGCCGCCCCTGCTGGTGGCGCAACCAGCGCAAGCGCCGTCGGCGGAAGACACGGACGTAACTCCCGCGGACGGGGGAGACAGGTGTGAGATGGCGGAGCCTCTCCAGTATGCTGATGACCATGCCACGGCAGCTGCTATGGGGGCGGAAATTGCGGAGAAGAATGTGACAATGGCGAGGGATGAACGAAGTGGGGAGAATTTGGGAGGGCAGGAAGGGAATGGGGTCGGGCGGGTTCGGATGGGGGGCGAGAATGGCGCGCAGATGGGCGTAATGCGGGCTGGGAAGGCGGCCATGGCGGAGCCTTTCGCAACGCGCGCGGGCGCCGTGTGCGCAGATCGCGAGAACGTGGGGCGCATTGACAGCCGGGGGAACGCGGGGGGGAAGCGGGGGGATAATCCGAGCGCGTGCAGCCGTGACGCACAGAACGCGTCAGTTCGAAGCACGCTCATGGAGCTGGCAGCCAATAAGAAGCTGCCACATGGCCCGCGCAAGGGCGACCCGATGTACGAGTGCAAGCGCTGCCCGTTGGCTTCCCCCGCGCGCTCCCCCCTGTCCCACTCCGCCGCGCTGACTCCCCCCGTGCACCTTCCCTCCCGCCTGCACATCCCTGCTGCGCTAACTGGTCTGACTCGCGGGGGGAATGGTGGGGTTGGTATGGGGAGGCTGGGGCTGGTAGCGCCGGTTAGCTGTGGTAGCAGCCCTAGAGGAGACTCTTCCTCCCTGTGGAGTCGGCAGCAGCAGAACGGGCAGCAGCAGCATCAACAGTTGGTGCAGCAAGTAAAGCAGCTACAGCAGCACCAGCAGCGGCACCTGAGTGAGTCACAGTGCAAAGAAGATATTCGTAGCTCTGGTTTGAGTCATAGTTCCCTGCAGCCCAGTCATGCCAGCTCAGCTGCCACGTGTCCCA